ACAGCCTGTAGAAGTCCAGTGCCCTTAACCACCATGCCACCTGCCAGCCCTTGAAAATTAAAATTTAAAACAAAAAATAGCAATAATCTCTACCCACTCAGAACTACTCACCATTAGCACTTTGAGGGACTTTTTTTTCTTCTTTAAATTTTATTTTAATTTCTTTTATACGTTCAAATAATATTCATCACTTAGCTTGTAAAGTAAATTCTCTCAATATGAGTACACTTAACACCAGTACAGTTGGGGATACTATACATGTTATCATCAATAGATAATAATACGTTTCTATGTCCCATAAATGTTTTTCCTCTCAATTTTTCTCCTTAATATCTTTCCTCACACTCTCCCCCTTCTTCCATCCTTTTCCCACACAGTATCTAGTATCTGTAACCATTTTCCATGCTTTTATGTCCTCTAATCTTTCCATTTCCACCATAGAGTGCGGTCTGTCAGTATATAGTAAGTGGAGATATACAATATTTCTCTTTCTCTTTCATATCCTGTCTTGCTTTAGTCAGTAGTAAATCTTTCATATTTGTCCACTTTCTATCAAAAGCCAGTGTCTTTTTTTTTATGGCCCAGTAGTATTCCACAGAGTATATGTGCCACATTTTTTCAATCCATTCATCTGTTCATGGACATTTTGGTTGGTTCTATGTCTTAGCAATTGTGAATAATGCCACAATAAACAAAGATTTGCAAGCACTATTCCAATTGAGCATTTTCCTGTCCTTTGGGTAGATATCCAGGAGTGGAATTGCTGAGTTATATGGTAGTTCTGTTTGCAGATCTTTGAGGAGCCTCCATACTGTTCTCCACAGTGGCTAGACTAATATACATTCCCACCAACACTATAGGAGAGTTTCCTTTTCACCACAGCTCCACCAGTACTACTCATTTTTTTTTTTTTTTAATCTTTGCCATTCTGACAGGGGATAGGTGCTATCTTATTGTGGTTTTAATCTGCATCTCCCTTATGATGAGGAATGTTGAGCAATTTTTCATATTTCTTTGGCCATTCATATGTGTCCCTTAGAGAGTTGTTTATTCAGCTCATTTTCTCATCTTTTAATTGGATAGGTCATTTTTTTTCAGGTAAGTCACTTGAGTTCCCTGTGTATTCTGGTTGTCAGTCCCTTATCTAAGGCATAGTTTACAAATGTGCCCTATAGCAAAAATCTCTCTAAAAAAATTACTAAAATAAAACACTTCTCAAAATGTCAGCATGCATATGAACTTGTATAATTATTTTTAAAATACCATAAGTAAAAATACTCAAAATGTAATTTTGACTCTCAATATGTCCTAAGTGGGGTGCAGGATTGTATGTTATTTCTTTAAACTTAATTTTCTTTTAGTTTATTTCATTCATGAGAGACATAGGGGGAGACAGAGACTAAAAGGGAGAGGAAGAGAAGGAGAGAAAGCAGCAAGTACCCTCTTCGGGGTCTCATATCACCATCCTCCCCCAACCCTTCTTGACAGGCCAGGCTCATTTGCACATATGTACAATCAGCATGTTCAGATTAATCTGGGAAACAAATTCTAACCTTCCATATGCTCCCAATCAGTGTGAAGTGGTGCACTATCACTATCTCACTCCAGCTGGACTGGGGGATTTTGCATTTTTTAACACATGCTCTGGTAATTTTGAAGTCACTGATCATTGGAACACATCCTGGGAGCCACTTGTTTCAAACTTATATTAAGTTAAAATAAAACTATTCTCAAGGTCAGCAGGTGGCATGTGGTGGTTAAAGTTCTGGACTCCCACAGCCAAATGCATTTCAAATCCTGGACCTGGTAGCTTGCTGTCTTACTTTCTCTCTCTCATGAGTGCACATGCCCTACAGCAAATTAAAAAATAATAATAAAAATTTTTAATTAAATTTTAAAACTTAATTAAAATTAATAATTTAAAAAATTATATTAATATTTGTTGCAAAGTTCCTACCTTGTATAATTTTTCTGTATTGGTTCATATACTGGGTATTTCTAAAATACATCACAAATTTCAGAGTTCCTGCTAGTTACAGCACACATAAAATCTAACTGAAGAGAGGTACCATTCTCTTTCCCAAGGTATTGGTGTAGTATCTCAGAAAACAGATAAAGAAATTCTTCATAAAATCCATTATCATCTTCCAATTTAAAGAGGCTAAGGTAAAAGGAGACCACCAGAAACTCAAAACACCTTGACACTCCAAATTAAAACCTTTGGAGTTGACATATTTTCTTTTCTCCACTGGCTTTGCTACTTATGATTGGTACTTATTCCAATGCACAAACACTTACGTGATATGGCAAGCAGCATGAAAGAATTAAAGGCTACAAGTGAAGAAAAGCTGAGGGAGATGTGAGACTGTGTGTAGACCAAATATCCCTCAACACACCCAAAGATCTTGACACCCCAACGCCAGATCCTGTGAATATTTTACCTGATGGGCCAAACAGACTTTGCAAATATGATTAAGGATTAATCCTTTAAAGTGAAAAACATTTCTGGCTGAAGTCAAAGATGTCAAATGAAAGCACGGTTAGAAAGATGCTGCTACTTTGCTGGCTTTGAAAATAACTGGAGCTATGAATCATGAATGACAGTCTAGGAGCTTGAATCGGCAAAGAAACGGAATACTGCCCTGTGGAGAAGTCTTATGATTTTGATTTTTTAAGAACTGAGTTAAATTTGTGACCCTTAGAACTATAAGGAAATACATTTATGTTGCTTTTAATTTTAAGTCACTGAATTTGTAATAATTTGTTACAACAGATATAGAAAACTAATATAGGCTACATAATAGTCCCAATACTAGCTTCTGTGGAGGGAGTGGAAAATATATAGCAGGCATATATGAAAGAAAAATCTATCAGGATTTTCTTTCATTCAGTTACTCTCCTACATAACTGCCTCATGCCAAAGATGAAGAGTATGTTCTGGAATACAAGGGAAATTCCTCTAACTAGGAAAGCGCTAAGTACAAGTTCCAATTAGAATTCTAAATCTAGATACACCATATATATCAACTAGAGGACAAACTAAACATAAAACTAGAGAGAAAAATACTGAAATCTGGAGTAGTAGATTACTGAACAAAGAATAACTATGCAGACACAATGCTTTCCTACTTACACTGTCCACAAGTTATTGAAGACTGTCCATGTATTAAGTGCTAACTTGTGTCCTCCACAAAATTCATATGTAGAAGCCCTAATCCTTAATACTTTAGTATTTAACTGTATTTGTAGACAAGATCTTTAAAGAGTTATTAAGTTCAATGAGGTTATTAGAGGACCTAATCCAGTATGACTAATGTCCTTTAAGAAGAAATTAGAAAAGAGATACACATAGAAAGACTATATGAAGATATGAGAAGATGACCATTTACAAATAAAAGAAGAAAAGCAGCTCTACCAACACACCTTGATCTTGGATAAACCTTCCAGAATTATGAAAAATAAATTTCTGTTGTTTAAGTCATCTAGTCTACGGTACTTTATTACAACAGTCATAACAAACAAATATACATGCAATATACAAAGCAATTCTTTAAGATCTAATAATATATAGATAAGCATGGAAAGAATACAAGAACACAAAAATATTACTAACATTATTTTTAGTCAATAGCAAGCCTAGACACTGGTCACTTATACAAGGAAAATAGATAAATAATAAACAATTTCTATAAAAAGAGTAAAATGATTTTTTGTGCTGATCATCACTAATACATAGAAAAGTTGTTGAAATTATAGACCATAATTCATTTTATTAGCAGCCACTTTACTGAGCACTCTAATTAGGTCACAGTAGTGTTTTTTTGGTTACTTTTTTTGGGTTTCATCAATAGATAAACACACTACCTGTAAAAAGTGATTTTTTTTGGTCTTTTCTTGACAATCAGCAATATCCCAATTACTATTTTGTCTTACTGCATAGGCTAGTACTGTCCCAACAATGAAAAAGAGAATAGTCGTTATTACAGGGTACTGTATTTGAAAGTAATATCTCTAATATGTAACTATTAAGCTTGACATAGCTAATGGATAAATTAGTGGGTTTTGGCATTGAAAAAATTTTCTAAACTCCAAATCATCTACCTCAGATTCAGTATAGATTTTTAGAACAAGATGATTTCAAATTGATTAGATTTAATAAATACTATCAGATTGTTTCCTATAAAAATTTAAATAATTTAAATTTAAAAAAGAAATTATGATATCTTAAAGTAAAATGTATAGGGGACCAGCAGGTGGCATGGTGGTCAAGGCTCTGGATACTCCCACATGGCGGTTAAGGCGCTGGATACTCCCACAGTTCAAGTCCCAGACCTGGTGGCTTGCTTTCTCACTTTCTCTTTCTCTCTCTCTCTCTCTGTCTGTCTCTCTCTCTCTGGTCAAATTAAAATGAATGAATAAATAAATAAAAGTAAATTATTATTTTTTTAAAAATGTATATTCCATATAGAATAATAGTAGAAATACTTATATATAGAAACATCATAAAACACTAAGAAAGTTTATAAAATATTAATCACATTATAGAGAAGAATAAAGGAGAAGAGAAAGAATAATTTTCTTGTAGGAATTAAGGGGCAGATCTGAGTAGAGAGGGAGAACCAGACACAAAAGAATGAATTTGAGGGAGCTCATGGAATAAGCTCAAAATGCAAGAATCAGTGCCATTAAAAATAATTCTTTTTAATTGCCAGAGACATGTGCACTCACCAGAGACAATAAGGAGACAGACTGAGAGAGTGAGAGAGAGAGAAAGAGAGAGAGAGGAAGAAAATATCTCCTAACATGACATTCTCACAGTGTGATCTTTTATTCTCCATTTCTTCATCCTGTAGGGATTTGGGGCATGCATGCACATGCACAGACCAGGTCTCAAATTGCAGCCACCCATGTGTAATCTGTCTCCTTTAACTACTAGGCTATGGGGCCAGCCCTTGGTGCCATTTTTTCAGGTACATAGCTAACAGGCTTAAATTGTTTACCTTATTTTCTGTTCCCACATCCAGAGTGACTGGCAGACATTCTTGAGGATTCATCCCTCCGCAAGCTGTATATAAAGCCAATTTACCCACAGGGATGCCCATTCCATTACAGCCAAGGTCTCCCAGGCCAAGAATACGTTCTCCATCAGTCACCACAACAGCCTAGAACAAAAAGAAAATATATTAACAGATTTCTGTAAATCCCAAGGCATGATTTCTGGTGCCTACTTTTTTTTGGTAGGTTTTTGCCATGGGGTTTATTGCTTGCCAGATAGGGACAGTAAGAGGAAAAGTTAGGAATCACACCCACGCCTCCAGGGAGGGGTGGCCACACAACAATCTCTTCTCCTCCATTCTCCTCTCAGGATTTTGCACCCCAAATGCATGGGCACCCAGAATGACTTTCAAGTCTCAAAGCTCCAGGACTCCAAGGCCAGTACCTGAACTATCATGCCATCTGCTGGTTCCCTCTAGTGTCTATTTGTGAAGTTAATATTCATGTAATGAAATATTAAATTGTTAATAAACATAAACTGAATATACTTGGAAAAGATTTTATAATTGTGGAAAATGTGGAGAAGAAATAAAGGCAACTTATATATTTTATACATTTAAAATATATATATTCTTAGGTTATTGGGAAAAAAAAAACAGGGTATGCACATAAACATTCAAATAACCTGGGACCAGCAGATGGCGTGATGGTTACGTCGCTGGACTCACACATAGTCAACCATGGTTTAAGTCCTGGACCCAGCAGCTTAAAACACACACCGGACACATGTGCACTTGCGGCCAAAATCCCAAGAGGAGAACGGAGGAGAAGAGATTGTGGCGTGGCCATCCCCCCTAGAGGGATGACTTCTCACTTTCTGTCTGCCTCTCCAGCAAGTGCACACATCCTAAAGCAAAAATATCTCTCTCTCAAAAAATAAAAGAAAAGAAAAGAAAAGAAAGAAAGGATTTGAACAACCCAAATTACCTAGTCTTTCAATCAAGGAAGTGGGAAAAGTACAGGACAGAAAGAGTTTGAGAACTGGGGACTAGGATCAGACAGTAGCACAATGGTAAAACATAATTCTCTGTGAGAGTGATACACAGAGAGGTTACCGGTTCATGTCTACAGACCTCCCTGAGTATGCAGGCACTTACGCGTCCATGATCTAGGCTGGCTGTGGTTGGGGATGGATTGAGATGTCAGGACCCTGTTGTGAACATTGTCTTTGTCTCTCTCTTTCTCTCACTCAAGGAAGAAATAAGTATATAAACAAATAAATTTTTTAAAAAAATAAGTAATTGAGAACCAAGGTGAAACTCAGGGCTGCTATGAGTATTCTTGGGTTGTCAGAAAAGTCATGACACACTTTTGCACAGAAAAGCAGAAAAAATATGTCATGACTTTTCTAACCACCCAATATTACAGGAATGCTCATAATTAAGTATTGCATAATTGCTGAGTAGACTGAGGAAGTTATACCTCTGCGCTGAAATGCTCTAATCTCTATATAACCTGGCACCATCCTATTTTCACAGCAATATTTGATCCATCCTCTTTAACTCCTATAACCACTTGATAATGTCTACTACCTTTGAAACACACCTAATATGGCCTGTGACTTCTCTTGCTTGATAATCTTCCACTAGATTTAATGAATTCTGTTTGAATATCAATGAAGATTATATTTTGATCATGTAGAGATTTTACTCTACATGATTTTATATCATTATTTAAGTTAATGTATCAGACATCTTTATACTGTGATTTCAGGATTACATGAATTTAACTAATCTTATGAATTGTAATATATGAGACATTCTGCAAACTGCTACACCTAGCATATCCATGGAACCTTGTGAGATTTTTAGTTAGTTGGCCTTGGATAAAGCAATAAATTTAAGTTCTATTCCTCCTTTGTGAAAAGGGAATAAGAGGTCCAGCCACAGTGAATCAGTGGTTCCGCTAGTGCCCTTCTAGGCTCTAAACTATGTGGATGACCATGGGTTCAGATCCCTGGGTCAGTATGAATACATGCCAGATCCACACATAGGTGCCCAGGATCTTAGAGCTGGAGAAAGATGAGCAAAGTGTGATAAGTCCCTGTCGAGGGTCCTCCTTTCTTTCTCTCTCTGTCCTTCCTTTCTTTTGTGCATGTATGCACTCTCCATTATTTAAAAAACTGAGAATAATAAATGTACTTTTCAGGGTAGCTAAATGGATCTGAACCTGTGGTCAGATTCCAGCACAGCTTTGGCACATAGTAAGCAATCAGTATTAGTCATTTAAATGAATCTAAGGTTCCATAACATGGAATTATGAGATTAAAAAAACTTACCACAGTAGCTGGTACATTACAAATTCTAGAAAATTCTGGAATAAGCTCAAAATGCAAGAATCTGTGCCATTAAAAAATTCTTTTTAATTGACAGTTATTATTATCAAGAGACCTAATGTATAGAATCACAACATTTTAGAAGTAAAAGCTAATCTAGAGTATATTCAGTCCACATCCTCTTATTTTATAGATTAGAAAACTAAAGATCAGAAAACTGAAATAATATGATTACACTGATCTATCTGGTTGATATCAAAGCACCAAAATTCAGGTATGTTAACTCCACTGGGTCCAGCGGCATTACCACTGTGCTACTGCTTGGTCTCTCATTGCTTCTACAGCACCTCCATATTACACCAAATTTTGATTTTTTTAGAGAGAGGTTTTTTTTCTTATCTTTTTTTTTTTTTTTTGGAGAGATTTTCACTGTAAGGCGCGTGCGCTTGCCAGACAGACAGAGAGAGACACAGAGACAGAAAGCGAGAAATCACCCCCCAGGGGGGATGGTCAGGCCGCAATCCCTTCTCCTCCATTCTCCTCTCGGGATCTTGGGCACGCACGCACACGCGCCCGGCGTGAGTTTTAAGCCACCGGGTCTGGGACACGAACCGCGGTCGACTACGTGGGAGTCCAGCGACATAGCCATTAGGCTAACTGCTGGTTCCCGTCTTATCTTGACCATAAAGTCAAAGAAAGGCATTCTTTTTGTTTGTTACTTCATATATTTTATTGCTTAAGCTCTTCCCTCATCCAGAGCTATTATTTAATCATATAAATATAAATGGACATTTATACAGGGGTGGTTGTTTGAGAAGTTTTTATAATGTCTTGAGGCATTTGATATTTTAGCTCAGTTTATGCCTTATTACAAACGTACATTTGTAGCATTAACTCACAAATATTTCAACATTAAAGAGCATTTCATAGATTTCTTTTTAAAAAAAGAATTATTCATTCATTTATTTAATTCCATTTGTCATTATTTTTTATTTGACCAGAGAGAGAGACAGAGAGACAGAGAAAGGGAAAGTGAAAAAGCAAGCCAATAGGTTCAGGACTGGAACCACAGTCAGCCATGGGGGATCCAGTGCCTTTAACCACCACACCACCTGACAACCCCATCAAAAGATTTCTAGGAAATTAAAGTTTGTTGTATGTACAAGTTTACCAGGAAATTAACACTCCTTTACTTTTATTCTTATCTACTTTATTTCCTGCTTAAGAAAAATAAACAGTTGGGAGATTTTCTGTACAATAATCAAGTCATAACAGCAGGATTAATTTCAGTAAGAAATCAACAATTCTATCAATGATGTCTGTGTTTCAGTCATTAAAGATACATATATATGTATATATTTATATGTGTATTTATACATATGTATATATACACATATACGCACACATACACACATACACATTTATTATCTGTATAAATGATATGAATATGACCTCCCTGTGTGGAATATACAAGTTTCCATGAGCACACCAAAGCATTCTGCATGTCGTCCTGTCTTTATCCCTTCTCTTTCCCCAGGGCTCATCCTCTCTTGCAGTCTACCTGGATGCAGAACCTTGCTTCTACCAGGTCTCTCAAAATCATCCTAAATCTCTGTCCCATTGAACTTTCCTCCACTGTTAATATATGAAGTTATTTCCTCGTTTAAATACGACATTCTTTTTAACGTCAAAAATCGTTTATCTGAGCCAGCTGGTGATGTGATGGTTAAGGCAGATGCTGGTCCTTGACCCAGCATCTTGAAAAACATACTGGGCATATGTGTATGCATGCCCAAAATTCCAGAAGGAGGGAAAAAAGTGGAGAAGAAGCAATTGCAGTGTGATCATCTTCCATAGGGGGCACTTTCTCACTTTATCTCTTTCTCTTTCTGGTGAGCATATGCACCCTCTAGCAAATTTAAAAAAAAAAATCCCTCTTTCTGAATTTATTCTGATTTTTTAAGAGAGATTTTTGCTATAGAGCATGTGTACTCACCAGAAGGACAGAGAGACAGAAAGTGAGAAATCACCACCACCACCCCCCCCCCCGGAGGATGGCCATGCCATAATCCTTTCTCCTCCACTCTCCTCTCAGGATTTTGGTCATGCGTGCACATGTGCCTGGAGTAAGTTTTAAGTCACTGGGTCCAGAACTCCAGCCATGGTTTGGCTATATGGGTGGCTAGTGATGTAACCATTGCACCATCTGCTGGTCTCTCAAATTTCTTATTTTTTCAATAGCCCAAGGGTACGTATACTCACCAGAGGTGAAAAGAGAAATATATAACCACATCAATGGGGTGTGGTTACATCACAATCCTTTTTCTTCCACCCCTCCTTCCCATTTCAAATTTCGGAATCTCTCTCTCTCTCATACACATACACACACACACACACACACACACACACACTGCTGATGTGTTTTTCAAACATAAGAGCCAGAATTTGAACTATCGTAGGCCGTGCAAGATCTGGTTCTCTTAACTGCTAAGCTATAAGGGTCAGCCCTCATTCTGAATTTCAAGACCTTTTATAATATGTTAATTTTCTACTTAACCAATCCCCATTTCACTACATTCCAATATTAATATACAGCTTTCGTCAAGCCAGTCAGTTTCTTTACTAAGAACACATCATTCTCTTCCTGAATTTGATACCAACATTCCTATGTTCCCTTTTTAGGATAGTATCTTCTCTTTGTAAACGTCAAAAGTTACTTTTAAATTTTAACTTTGCAAGAAAAGTGTTCTCAATGATTCCAGCCTTCTATAAATTGCATTCTCCTCTGAATGAATGAATGTGACACTTACATTATAACTGAATTTATCTAAAATTGATTACCTTTGGGGACCAGCAAGTGGCCACTGATTAAGGCACTGAACTCCCACACAACCAACTGCAGTTCAAGTCCTGGCCCTAACAGCTTGAAAATTACGCTGGCGTGTGTGAGTGCATGTCCATAATCCCAGGAAGAGAATGGAGAAGAAGAGACTGTGGCATAGTCATCTCCCGCTGGGGGGTGTGATTTCTCACTTTCCCTCTCTCTGTTTTTCTCTGGCAAGCACATGTATCGGATGGCAAAAACCTAAAAAGAAAAAAATAATTTGATTACTTTTGTTTCATGTGTGTTTTTATCTGTGTAATGGAGATCTTATGTCAAACTTCAGTATTCTATTATAATCAATGGCTGCTATTAGTGAGTGGCCACTATGCTCCAGACATTATGCTAGGCTTTTCTAATAATAGTAAGCATTGTCAAGATCGAGAACATAAGTAAAGGTCCAATATCAGGAGTCAAAGAATAAAGGTAGGCAATTAGTGAACTCAAATATACAGAGATCGGCTAGTTGGCAAAACAAGAAGCAAAGTGGGGTCCAGCCATGGTGACATGAGTATAGTGCATGCCTATGATGCAAAGGTCATGGGGAAGATCAGGGTTTGGTTCTCAGGTCAAGCCGTACATGCCTGGTGCACCTACACACCCATGATCCCAGCAGGCTAGGAAGCAAGAGGGGATTGTGGTATGAGATCCTGTGAAGGGTGCTTCTTGCTCTCTCTCTCTCTCTCTCTCTATTTCATTCTCTCTCTCTCTCTCATGAAAAGAAAAAATACATTTTAAAAGCAGGGTGACAGCTTATTGCCTTGCTGTTATTACAGAGGATACTGACTAGAACTCTCTACTCCAGAACTATTTCTGCTACTGACTTGTTGATTCTTAAAATTGAAAAAGCTTGAAAAACATGTTGGGTATGTGTGCATGTGTACTCAGAACCCCAAAAGGAGGGAGAAATGGAGAAGTGATTGTGGTGTGACCACGCCCCTTGGAAGGTGCTTGCTCACTTAACTCCTCTCTGTCTCCAGTGAGCACACATACCCTCTGGAAAAATTTTTAAAATAAAATAATTACAGGAGAAACTTAGTATTTAAATGGCATAAAAATAAAATTAACTATGCAAAACTCAGAAGGATATAAATGATGTGATAGTCACTAGAAAAGCTAGAGAATCTATGAGAATTGTCAATATGCTTAAATTGCTTCAAGGGACAGAAAACAAATTTGTCATAGTGGAAAAACCTGACAACTTACCTTGATAACATCTTCTGGCCATGCATTAAGGATGGAAGAAATATGTCCTCGATCATGGATACTAATAAAGAGACCTCTGGCAGAAAAAAAAAAAGTTATTTTAATTTACTTCAGACTTACCAAACTATCATGAATAATTACAAATATTTTCAAATTTATTTAACATAAATTTCATTTTAATCAAACTAGCAAAAAGTATTTCCTTAAACAAATAAGGGATAGAAATCTTTTAAGTAAGAGAAAAAATTACTTTATACGATATATTAACATTTACAATAGTATAGATTTACTCTAGTAGATATTTAAAATACTTTTGAATTAAATATTTACTACTTTTATAAAGGGAATTTAATATTATCTATTCCTCATATTTATTTACAGTCTTTCATTAAATAATGTACATAAAAGCACTTTGAAAAGACAACATGTGGGGACCAGTAGTTGGCGTAATGGCTATGTCGCTGGACTCCCATGTAGTCAACAGCAGTTCAAGTCCCGGACCCGGTGGTTTAAACTCATGCCAGGTATGTGTGCGTGCATGCCCAAGATCCCAAGAGGAAAATGGAGAAGGGATTGCTGAGTGGCTGGCCCCCCTGGGGGGGAGTTCTCGCTTTCTAGCTCTCTGTGTCTTTCTGGCGAGCGCACGTGCTTTATAGCAAAAACCTCTAAAAACAAACAAACAAAAAAAGCAACATGAAACATATGTAAATAGGCATTTATGTGCATATCCTAGTTATTATATTTTGACAATGTGAAGATGAGTAGACATATTAAAATGGCTGAAGTGACTGACTAATGCTGAGCAGTGCTCTCATGTAGCGCTTACTTGAGTCTGATCTTTGGTTTTAGTTGCTAATCTCTTTTTTTAAAGATTTATTTCTTTATTATGATGATTATTTTTCACATGACTTTTGCTAGAGAAAGACAGAGAGGGACAGTGAGAAAGCAAGTCTCCAGGTCCAGGACTTGAACTATAGTCGGCCATGTGGGAATTCCAGTGCTTTAACCACCACGGCACCTGCTGGACCCTTAGTTGCTATTTTCAACTCTTGTTATTTACGCTCTCAGCTAAAGTCTTTAACACTACTTGCTCCTAACCACCTTTCCCTATGAAAGCCTAACAAGTAACTGTACAAACTAATATATTAAAATTTTTAAAAATTGTTAACGCAGTATCTTCATTTAAAAGTTTTTCTTTAGTATTATTAAATATAACTCAAATACAGAGAACCACATACAATAAACATACAGCCTAATGAATGAATATAAAGGAAACACTCCTCTACATAATACCAATTTAAACAGAGAATCTTACCAGCTACTCAGAAGCCATCTACTTATTTTCTCCCAATCAAAAACTCTTCCTATATAAGAGGAACCACTAACACTAACTTTTATGGTATCATCTCCTTTATATTAATTTAGTTTTGTTCCCAAATCACTAACCATCTCTAGATGCTACTGTTTAGTTTCATAGTTTCCCAAAATTTGAATTTTACTGATTACATTCCTATGGTATAAATTAACCTATCAATCTTTCATCTATATGACTTGGAAAAATCATAATTGGATGTTCAGGCTGAGTCAGACTCATGTTAAATTATTTTAGGTAATACATCTCATGGGCTGATGTTTTCAGAAGACACATAATATCAGGTATTGCTTTCTCTGCTGTTTGTAGCCACTCCTGCTTAATGTCTAAGTTCACTAATTCAATGGTGATATTCTAATTTTATCATTCATTATTTCTTTACTAGAACACTTCTTTAAAGAGAAATTTCACCACATCTACTATTTGGTTTTTCAGTGATATAGCTGATACAGAAATAGGAAAAATGATTTTTTTTAATCACTTGTTTTCCAAATAAACAGCTAGTTTACCAGAATTCATTGAGAGTTCCCAAAGTATCTCTACCACAATTATAATTGTCTTAATAATTGTTGTTTTTGTGGAGTATATGGCACTTTCTTTTTTGGGAGGAGGGGGGATTAATATGTCCTAATTTGTCACAATTGGTTTCCTGGTTGATATTCAAACTGTTTTATCTCTAGCAAGTAGAAAAGTCTTCATATCCTTGTACCTTAAGTTCCTTCTGACAATATTAGAGTAGTTTTATTTTTTAAAAAAATTATTTATTATTGTTTTATAATTTGACCAGAGAGAGAGAGAGAGAGAAAGTGAGAAAGTATACCACCAGGTCCAGGGCTCAAACCACTGTTGACCATGTGAGAGTCCAGCACCTTAACCACCACACCACCTGCCAGCCCCTAGAGTACTTTTCGATAACTTCCTTGCTCTCTGTTATGATAAAATGTTCCAGGTTTATTTTGAAAATGCTCTGGCCTCAGACTTGAAATGAGTCGTATCTCTAATCCCAAGTTCTTTCTAGCCAACTGTGGTATCTCAAAACCACAGTCTAGGCCTATTGCTATTGGTCGGCCAAAGTATTATTACAGAAAAATCATAAAACAATGTTAAAATTCACTTCCTCGTTATGGCTGCAAATCTCCAATTGGTTCTCTTCTCTTGTAAAGTTTACCACCGTGATTTCTTAGCAAATTTCACATACCACTTTCTGAGAGGGCCATTCTACACTCTCTTTCTTCTCCAACCTCTCATGTTGATAACCTATTCTTGAATTTCTAGCAGAAACAGATGCATCAGAGTGAAAACTATCTGCTCTTTCTAATACAAATTCTACTCACTGCTGTTATAAAGAAGGAAATTTCCCTGCCACTGTAAGCCATTCTTCTAGCTGTGCTCAGGATCCCACCTCATTCTCAGCTTTCCAAAGGTTTCACCCCTGCAATTATCCTGTGTTTATGCTGCATCATCACTTTCTCTTACTGCATCAATTTTATTGTCATAAAAACCTACCTTAATATTATTCATCTTTTCAAAAGATTGAATTTTGTCCCCTCTTCTCTTCTCCTCGATAGCAAAACTCCTCAAAAGACTGCCATATTCTTGTCTGTTTCTTTACCTCTCATTCTCTCTTCACTCTATTAACAAAGCTCTTCTCTCTCGGATCTCCACAGCAAAAGTTACTGGTGATCCACATCTAAATACAAGCAAAGGTTGAGCTCTCAATGCTCATCTTACTTGAGTTCCCACCTGCGCTGGACTTTGTAGATGGTCTCTTACTGAAACACTTTATTTTCAAGCCTCTGTAATAGTATGCTTCCTAGTTTCCTCCTAATCACTATGTGCTTCTTCTCTGGTTCATTTGCTGTCACTGCACTAGCCTTCTTCATGTTGAATCTAGGGCTCTATACTCACCTCTGTTCTCCCTATATACTCTCTATCAATGTATTTCAACCAGTCTCATGGTTTGGAATAAGATGTTCATAACGATGAGTCTCACATATCTTCGACTAGACTGCTCTTTTGAGCTCCAAACTGTAAATCTAACTCACTAATAAACTCCTTCTCTTCATTCAGGCCTCAACTCAAACCTTAGTTCCTGTGATAGTGACAGTGTTTCTCTAGTAACAGTGTCAAAGCGCCTCTACCTCAACATTATAATTGTCCTAATCACAGTACTTACACAAATCTGAACTTATCTTATTATGTTATTATGAGATTATCTTATTTACTTATTGTTTATTTGTTTACTACCTGTCTTCCTGTCACTAATCCCAGTGCACATACATACACAAAAAGTAACACTGCCTAAGTACAGACTCTTTTGCTCACATTTGTAATCCAATGCCTATAAATGTGCTAGCACATATATGTCCAACAATATGGGCTGACCACAATACTACAACAAGAAGGCAATCATAATAAAAAAAAATTGGGGGGGACCAGCAGTTAGCGTAATGGCTATGTCGCTGGACTCCCACGTAGTCGACTGCAGTTCGCGTCCTGGACCCGGTGGCTTGGGACTCACGCCAGGCGCGTGTGCATGCATGCCCAAGATCCTGAGAGGAGAATGGAGGAGAAGGGACTGCAGTGTGCCATCCTCGCTGGCGGGTGATTTCTCACTTTCTGTCTCTCTGTCTCTCTCTGTCTGTCTGGTGAGCGCACGTGCCCTATAGCAAAAACCTCTCCAAAAAAAAAAAAAATTTTTTTTTAAGGTTTTGGACATAGGGTGCATATTTTTGCCGGAGAGAGACAGAGAGAGACAAAGTGAGAAATCACCCACCCTCAAAGGGGCTGGCCATGCCACAATCCCTTCTCCAGTCTTCTCCTGGCATTTTGGGCATGCAAGAACATGTGCCTGGTGTGATTTTCAAGCTGCTAGGTCCAGGACTTGAACCACAGTTGGTACAGTGGAAGTCCAGTGCCTTACCTACTACGTCATCTGCTAGCCCCAGTATAATAGAATTTTTTTTAAAGCACAGGAAACATTAAATAAATTCAAATTTATATTGACTTTATTAAGTGACTCAAAATTATACTATAAAAGTAAAGGCTACAGAAAGATTATTGATGATAATCTAACTCAATAAGAATATTAATTTACTAAGTTGACACTAAATTATATCCTTTCCTGCTTTTCTTGCAGTTTAATGTAAGTGTATTTTGTTTTTCCCAAGTAGCTATAAGCTCTCTGTAAATTACATATTTCTTTTGGATCCCTGTCACAGCCAACTTGTCACAATGCAGTCAAGAGAATCTCAATAAATAACTGTAATACGTAAATGGAATATTTTTAGACTTCAAAAAAAAGATACTTTTTAAATTATCTAAGCTATTCTTGGCAATATACTATTAAATAATGCTTCTTGGGAATTGTTAGCCAAGGTTTTTCCAAGCAACACTGGTCTCAGTATCTTTTTTTTTCCTTTTAAACAAGAAGAACAAAAATGACATCAAATTAACACCAATTGGGGACCAGCAGGTAGCGTGGTGGTTAAGGCGCTGAACACTCCACATGGTTGACCATGGTTCGAGTCCTGGACCTGGTGGCTTGCTTCCTCACTTTCCCTCTCTCTCTCTCTCTGTCTAATGCTGGTCAAATTAAAAAATGAATGAATGAATAAATAAATAAATAATTTTAAAAAGTAACACCAATTAAATGTCACGGTTTACTACACAAAGTTATGAGTTCAGCTTCAGTGGAAAAGACA